CTTTCAAATGATATGACTCACGGTTGCCATCGATTGTTTTTTTAAATTTTGCAACAATTATGCAAAATTGAAAATTCTGAAATTTTTTTATTATTTTTGACAATTAGCCAATTTTGGAAAAAAAATCGTACGAAAATTTGAAGTACACCATTTTTTAGCTATTACCAAGCCCTATCTGAATCACTCATCAAAAATTTATTTTCGTCAAATATGACGCGCGCACGGGCATTTTTTCCTGGAAGTGACAGTTTTTTTCAACATTTTTTATCTCCGTCAAATTGTAACAATCGAAAAAAATTTATAGGAGAAAAAATGTTTGTTTTTTCACGTAGAATACTGCAATAATTTTTTTTTCGGTTTTTCGAAAAATTTTTTTTTTCGGTTTAAATTATTTTTCAAGGTCGAAAAAAAAAAGATTTTTTTTTTATGTAATTTACGATACTTGTTATGTAGTATTATTGAATGGGTGGAAAAAAATTTTTTTTTGTGGTTTCTCATCTTTTTAGCGTACCGACTGTGAGAAAAAAAAATTGAAAAAAACCGAAAAAAAAAAAATTTTTCGAAAAACCGAAAAAAAAATTATTGCAGTATTCTACGTGAAAAAACAAACATTTTTTCTCCTATAAAATTTTTTTCGATTGTTGCAATTTGACGGAGATAAAAAATGTTGAAAAAAACTGTCACTTCCAGGAAAAAATGCCCGTGCGCGCGTCATATTTGACGAAAATAAATTTTTGATGAGTGATTCAGATAGGGCTTGGTAATAGCTAAAAAATGGTGTAATTTAAATTTTCGTACGATTTTTTTTCCAATATTGGCTAATTGTCAAAAATAATAAAAAAATTTCAGAATTTTCAATTTTGCATAATTGTTGCAAAATTTAAAAAAACAATCGATGGCAACCGTGAGTCATATCATTTGAAAGCTCTCCGAAAGACCTTTTAAACGCACCTACGCGCGTCTCTGTACGTTAATTTCTACCAGAGATATAAAACTTTGAAGTTAGACTGATTTTGCCCGTGGGGGGGTAAAAGTGGCTGACCGGCACTGTATATATCAATTCGCTGATAGCTAGCACGTTTTTAAAGGCACATGGTAGATTTGGTAGATACCCGTTGTGGTTACTGCATATGGAAGTGCTATCGTTTGAAAGTTTCTTGAGTGATGGACAACCCAAGTCTTCAACCCAAGTCTTTAACCACAGTCGTTCTGTAAAGAAAAAAGGAAAACAATCATTAGATATAAAAATATCTTTTTTTACTATGATACGCGACAAAAAGAAACTTTCTGTGCATTAGTCAACATATGTTATTACCACTTTGTTTTTTCAAGACCTTTGACAAAAACGGTTACTCCGAAAAATGTTTTTTTCATTATTTTTCCAAGCTCACTGTACGGTAAATCGGCATATTCCCGCAGAATACCATGAAAATTTCTCGCTAGCCACTAGTTTTTGCACTGACTTTTCTTTAATAACAACTCCCATTGGTAAGGTGATTTAAAGAGAAGCACCGATGGAGTTAGATCTTCTTCCAAAAAACAAACAGCAATCTCCTTGAATACCAGTTCGTTCAAGGAAATTTTGAAGCCCGGTAGTGCTACAACAAAATCCATCGCAATAACTGAGGAATCGACGACTGTGTTCATAAAATCGAATGAATGTTTTTTTATGCTGGGCTTGCCCTTGTTGATTTCCCACGGATTTTCTTTTTCTAACCAATTAGATTCTCTTCTCCTTGAAATAACATGTTTTTTATCACGACTATAATATTTCTATCAATCACAATTGCTCACTCATCCATACTTTTGCGAACTAATCAGCATTGGCGAGTAGTGAATATAACATGATGAATTTGTCAAATCTGCTCAGTTAAGTAATTAGCATAATGGCTCAGTATTTCCAGAACACAGCCTTCTTGCTTTTGCGTGTATATTGTCTAGCGAAGGTTGGTCATGCTAGTGTCGAAGACATGGAAAGATGGTTGACACTGGGTTCATTCGCATTGCGCAAAGCGGATGAGCTTTCTCGTTCTCCTAACTTGATCGTGGCTGGCAGACAGAAGCTGCAGCAGCTATGTGCATGATTAGAAGCGTTTTACATCTGCTAAACGAATACAAGGGTGGGCTGTTGGCACAGCCTTCCATTGCCACTTCATCGATTGCTGAATCTGATGTGAGCAAGCATAGCAAACAATCGATATACGAACCTCTCGTTATTTTGGATGTAGCTGATGGAGGTCTTGAACCGGCTAATATTACACCGGCTGTTGTCAATTCAGCTTAAGACTCAACAGTTCGCTCGAACAATATCAATAGTGAGTTCAAAGATAGAACAAAGACTGGTATAATAACCAATCTGATACATCTGGATTTGAATACGTTTTTGACGCATGCTAAATCATTATGCCATGCTCAAATTAAGGAAATTTTGAACAAACATTATTCTTAAAAAGTTCATGCTGTACTAGGTGCCGAATATGCAGTCGAAAAGAATAATTACGATGAAACGAACGATGTGAAGCATTTCATTACTAAGATGGCACCGATATAATAATGATATACCTAACTACAGACATAGATGAGTGATTCGTTGAAAAGGTGTTACAACCAGTCAGTAAGAGCACGGAAGAATTTCAAGAGCAAGACTCGGGCTGGACACTTCGTGTTACATTAAACTTAACCGTAAATATCAGAAAATGCAATCCTATGAGGGCTAGTTCTTACGTTGAATTGTCCGGATCTATTAGAAGAAAGAGAGCCCGTGTGACTGTGTTGAACAACGACAACGAATATTTCAAATCGGCTATCTTTCGGCGTCGCAAAAAATGCATGTCATTTCAGTGTCTATACTGCTCATCAAGATTCATATAATTTCAAAAATCTATCATTATTTGGCCAACTATCTGCATGAGTTGTGAAAAAGCCCACAGCCTACGGAAAATTTAACCTTCCAAGAAACATTTAGCTTTCTTCATGCTACGATATGTCATATATGTAATAAACCTTTTGACAAGAAAAAAAACACAAAAGTTCGCGAACATTGTTACTTTACCGGAAAGTATCGTAGAGCTGCTTACAGCACGTGTAACATTACTTATCAAGAATCGAGGACCATACCCGTGTTTTTTCATAATCTCAGTGGATACGATGCGCATCTATTTATCAATGAAATCGTGAACGAATTTCCCGGTCGAGTGAGCCTCATTCCTCAAACCAAGGAAAAATACATATGAGCATATCCACAGAACATTTTAATTTTGACATTTACAAATAAATTTTGGAAAAGTTGAAGGCACACCTTTTGAAATAGTTTTATCTATATTATTATGTCTTAACCCGTTAAGGCCGAGAACGCCCCTCCCGGTACACCCCTCTTTCGACTATCATAACTAGTGCAATTCCACATATAAAAAATTAAAAGATACACTATTTCAAAGCTTAAGATCTCCCCTTTCCAACGGTGTGCTGAAAAATGCGATAAAAAAATGTTAACTATGTGAAAATATTGTTTAAATAAAAAAAAACACGATTTTTTCATAATTTTTTTTTATAAAATCAAGTTTTCAGAATGGATCTCGGTTTGCAATCCACTTGGAACCTCAATAACTGGTGGCATAAATGTCTAAGCTTTCATAATATATATTTCCGAGATCGTTTTTTTATCTCAGTATCATCAAAATGGCGCTTCAATGACGGAATTTTCGTTCAGACATTCATGAATTTTTTCCTTGAAAAGTATGGACTTTTCGAAAAAGTCAAAAAGAAAAAAAAGTTCTTAAAATCACTCGTATAATACATCAGAATTTTTTCGAAAAGTTTGGAGCAATTTTTTGAATTTTGCAAATTGTCAAATTTTGAACATTTTCAAAATTGACCGTAATTTTTTGAAAAAATTCGAGTGCATTCTTTGCTCAGTTTTGAAAGCATTTTAGCTTTTTTTTTTATTCCTGGTAAATTTTCATATGAGTTCACTGCTTTTAAGAAAAAAATTCACAAGTGTCAAAATAATTGCACAGTATGTATAGTCCGAGGTATCCACGCTGCAATTAGTGTGTGAGCTTGTACTGGTGAAAAAAGATATGAAAAGGAATACGTTTTTAGAAAAACCTAATTTGGTGATGAAAATAACAAAATAAACTATCTACTTATAACTGCAATCTATATCGGAGCGAAATCCTGAATAGCCGATCGTGTAGCAGAAGCCCATCATTCGTTCATAGGTGGCCTGAAAATCCAATTTTAGCGAAATTCATCGCATTGAAATGATTCATGAAATACATTGAATTTTGAATCTTGCAAGTCATTGAGTATTATTGACTATCATCAATTGAATCAAAAATCCGTAAATCAGCCCGAATAATACAGCTGGTTGCTACAGGCTTCCTACCAACAGGACGTTCCACTGAAGTTATTTTAGTAGGTTGAGAAAAATGTCGAAAAGGAGAGCCACGAAAAGGAGTTACTGTGAATTGACTGATGAATAGTCAGATTCGAATGAAAATAAACAGCATATTTTTATACCTAATCCAGATGACTCTGGCACTGATGGAGATAGTTCGTCAGATACTGAAAATTCTGAATCAGAACTATCTGATGAAGACAATTCTGAATAGGAAATTCATGTACCAAATGTCTCATATCGATCTGTTTTTGAAAGTTATATAGAAAAACAAAAACTGTTAGAGCCAAATCATACTTTTTCGTGGTGTGAAGGAGAAAAAGTTTACTCTGTAGATTTGAAAGATCAATTGTTATTGCCTGATTCCGTAAAGCAGAAAATATCTTCAATGTCACACGTGGAACTGTTCGAAATCTTTTTCTCTGAAGAAATAGAAAATTATATTATTCAAGCCAGTGAAGAAAATGATTTGAAATTATCTACAAAAGAACTCAACACATTCATAGGAATATTATTATTATCATCTTACAATATTCGAAAGAATCAAAGAGAGTATTGGGAAACCGACCCTCTCGAAAACTGCTCTGCTGTTTCATTAGCGATGACGCGCGATCGGTTTAGTGAAATAAAATCTAAAATAAAATATTCAAAACCTACTGACAAAAATGATAATGATAAAGCTTGGAAAGTCCGTCATATTTTGGAATTGTTTAGGACCAATATTAAACAATTTGGATATTTTTCAACTGCTCTTTCCATTGACGAAATGATGGTTAGATTTTTTGGTCACACGTGTCTGAGGCAATATTTGCCTTCTAAACCTGACCGATACAAAATCAAACTCTGGGCCTTGTGCGGAGCAAATGGATATATATTCAACGTTGATATTTATTGTTGTAAGAACGATACAAGCATTGGGATAAATTTATCCGCATGTCCACTTGGCTCCAGAGTTGTATTACAAATGGTTAATCCACTTCTACATAGCCTTTCAAAAAGAAAATTGTCTGACTATCATGTCTATTTTGATAACTATTTCACTAGTCCTGATTTAGTCGTTCACTTGAACAAATGTGGCTTACGATCTACAGGAACTGTTCGTAAAGATAGAGTGAAACAAAAACATGATTTTGAAAAAATAAAGCACCACGAGGAACGAACAAAGCGAGTTATGATCGTAACAGTGGAATGAATCTCATCAGTGTAATTGACTCAAAAGAAGTTTCTATTCTTTCTACGGCAGCTGGCGTCACTCCCTTGGAGCCAATGGAAAGATATTCAAGAACTGCTAAGAAAAGATCAAAATTGGAATTCCCTTGTGCTTTTTCTTCGTATAACAAGTACATGGGAGGAGTGGATTTGCACGATTTTCGATGCAAGAAAGCTTCTCCAAGTGTCAGTTCAAAGAAGTGGCCATTCAAAATTTTCTCACGAATTATTGAAATGTCAATAACGAACGCTGTAACAATAAGCAATCTTTGCAGAAAGGATAGAAAAATAATGAAAACGCAAGAAATGTGTAAAGAAGTGAGTAGAAAGTATTTGGCGCAATCGAAAATATGTGATCTCAAATCTCACAGGCACGATACTAGAACAAGAAACAAATGTAATAGCGAAGGATGTTGTGTAAGGACTACCAGATACTGCATTGATTGCAAAGAATATTACTGTATCGAATGTTTTTCAAAATTACACACAGGAAAGGTAGCGAAATGAATTATCGATTCCAGAAAAATTCGACAATAAAAAAAATTAAAAATAAAAAAAAAAATAACTAAAATATGAAAAAAAAAAAAAAAAAAAAAAAAACTATCTATATTCGTCGACCTCCTCGTTGGTGATAGTTGGGCAACGCAAACTCTGTTTGCGGCGGACAGGCGATCAAAGAGTGGATGTTAATGACTTACGTATTGGGCAATTACTTTGACACTTGTGAATTTTTTTCTTAAAAGCAATGAACTCATATGAAAATTTACCAGGAATAAAAAGTTTTCAAAACTGAGCAAAGAATGCACTCGAATTTTTTCAAAAAATTACGGTCAATTTTGAAAATGTTCAAAATTTGACAATTTGCAAAATTCAAAAAATTGCTCCAAACTTTTTGAAAAAATTCTGATGTATTATACGAGTGATTTTAAGAACTTTTTCTTCTCTTTGACTTTTTCGAAAAGTCCATACTTTTCAAGGAAAAAATTCATGAATGTCTGAACGAAAATTCCGTCATTGAAGCGCCATTTTGATGATACTGAGATAAAAAAACGATCTCGGAAATATATATTATGAAAGCTTAGACAATTATGCCACCAGTTATTGAGGTTCCAAGCGGATTGCAAACCGAGATCCATTCTGAAAACTTGATTTTATAAAAAAAAATTATGAAAAAATCGTGTTTTTTTTTATTTAAACAATATTTTCACATAGTTAACATTTTTTTTATCGCATTTTTCGGCACACCATTGGAAAGGGGAGATCTTAAGCTTTGAAATAGTGTATCTTTTAATTTTTTATACGTGGAATTGCACGAGTTATGATAGTCGAAAGAGCGGTGTACCAGGAGGGGTGTTCTCGGCCTTAACGGGTTAAAGTACATAAGAAAAATCGCGTTATCCATTTTCAGGCCTCGGTAAAATTGTTATCGCAAAAGTAAGGATTTATTTTTTCTACAATAACAGCTTAAAAAAAATTGTATGAATTTGAGAAAAAGCTTCTATGGTTTTTGAGGGTCGCTGAGTCCGAGTCTAAGGTTTATTTAACTCAATTAGGTTAGAATCAAGGACATTTAAAGGTAAAATAGGTAAATTCAAGGTCATTCTGATCTCAAAATCAGCAAAAAATGTTCAGTTGAAAATGATTATTTTTCCATCAATTTTCATGAATCATAGACTTTATAAAGTAAAATTTTTCCAATCAAAAACTTCCGAAATTTATTTACATAAATGATCAAACATAACTGAACACAGTTTTACGAAAATATAAGGTATCACAGATAAGCAATAACTTATTTGAATAAAGTAGGTATAACACAAACATACATTTTTGTTGTATAACTCAACAAATATTTATAACACTATAACTAATTTTTCTTGGTTCGTCAAGTTCGAACAGATATACGAGATTGCACATTTTTAACATTATTCGGAACTTGACAAGTTATATCATTACGTCTTCTCTTGTTTCCTTTACTAACAATTCTTTCTTTTGCTATCATTTTTTTTGCAGGTTGTTTGTTATTTTTAATGCTGTCCTGCTCATCTATTTTTTGTTTCTTTCTTGTATTATTATGTTGATTTTCAGAATTAATTGTTCCTTCTTCTTTTAATTTCCGTTTCTTTGCTCGAGATTTCGATAATGACTGTAAGGTTCATCCACCAGGAATTAAGGAAAAGCGTTTGCATGGTGGATTTGTAAAACAATTAGGATCGTTGCAAGAAAGACTATTGAGAAATAAAAGGTCACGTTTTTCTTGAGTCCACAGAATTTGATAGATTTGTTGAGATTTGGGGGCTGACGCAGTGTTAGGCCGCACTAATTCATCAATCACTTCTATATCTGCTAAGGTAACATGAAAGATATGAATTTTAGATGACTTACTAACCACATCAATTATATCTTGAACGGTCATTACATCGTGCCCAGATTGTACTGCTCGATCACATAAAGTTTTTGTTGTTCCGCCCGAACCATCAGTACTATTTTTTCCATGTCCAGCTGTTGTGTAGTTCCAAGATGCAATTCGCAGTCCCAATTTGTTGCAGTAATGTTAAAAAAGATCAAAATTAGTTTTATTTTTATATTGAGTCGAAGGTCCGTCGCTTTGAAAATGAATGGTGTCACAGTTCGGTACTTTTCTCTTGATGAGCGATATAATTGGTTGTAAATGTGCCCAAACAGCGACATTATCATGTCTGAGACTTTCAGAGACAGTGCAAAATGAAACACATATAATTTTCTGATCCTTATCATCTCTGTAACGAAATACACCAGAATGCAACGTATTTTGTGATTTTGAATTTCCGAAGTATATTTAGAAACATAATTCTGGGAAAAATCAATCACCAATTGAACTTCATTCGATTTCAAACTATCTTCTATTTTTTTCATAGCTCTATATTGATGGCCAGTGTCAAAAGAATGTTTGAGTTTCTCTTCTCGATCAGATTCCACGGCTGTTAGAATAGTAAAACAGATGTAGAGATGATTTTTTAAATACAATCGATCATATAACTTACCTCAATCATGATATACATAAAGCAAGTCGCGAGCTCTTCACGCTAGCACGATAAACGTACTACTGATAGTAGCCACAACATAAATCCAATGCCCTTAGTATAGGTGAGAGAAATGAGTTTTGTTTACATGCGGATTTCTCGGAATACAGCAAAATTTTGAAAACGTAGAAGCGCTAATTTTATGAAGTCAACTTCTCGTATCCACTGTATGTATAAGTATTGACATACTATTACACACAAACACACACACGCTCACCAAATGCACACAAGAATTATCAACAAATTTTAACAATTCTTACATGAATCACAAATATTCATTTTCACCTCTTCCTTTGAATATTTTCGCCAAAAATGCATAAAAAAAATTACCGACTTGGTGATAGATTTGTCATTTCACATATTATCGTTTTCTCTTGTCTGATATTCAATCGAAATGAGTATACGAGGTGTGTTAAAAAAATAACGAGAATTTTCGTTTTATGAAAAAAATATTTATTTATTCATCTACATTAATGTTGTCGCCTTCAAAGTAGTCCCCTTCGGACACAATAAACTTATGCCAACGCTTTTTCCAATCCTCGAAACACTTTTGAAACTCGATCTTTGTAATAGCTTTTAGCTCTTTCAGCTATTCGCTTTTAATGTCATCTATGCTTGTAAAACGACGGCCTTTTAATGTTCTCTTTATTTTTGGAAATAGAAAAAAGTCACATGGAGCCATATCTGGCGAATATGGAGGCTGAGGCATCGTTACAGTTTCGTTTTTGGCCAAAAATTCACGAACAAGCAATGAAGTGTGAGCAGGCGCATTATCGTGGTGCAAAAGCCATGAATTGTTTTGCCACAAATCCGGGCGTTTTTTTCGGATTGCTTCACGCAAACGACGTTGAACTTGTAGGTAGTACTGCTTATTGATTGTTTGACCTTGTGGCAAGAATTCATAATGCACTATGCCATTAAAATCGAAGAACACAGTGAGCATAACCTTCACATTCGACCGCACTTGTCGAGCCTTTTTCGGTCTTGGCGATCCAGAATGCCTCCACTGGGACGATTGAGCCTTAGTTTCGACATCATATCCGTAAACCCATGTTTCGTCACCTGTTATAACACGTTTTAGTAGTTCTGCATCGTTATTGACTTCATTTAGCGACTCCTGAGCAACTTCCATTCGCCGCTGTTTTTGTTCGAAATTCAACAATTTTGGAACGAATTTTGCTGCCACACGTTTCATACCCAAAACATTCGAAAAAATTTGATGGCATGAGCCAACTGATATGCCAACATCATCAGCGACTTCTCTGATTGTGATTCGGCGATCGTTCATAACCATTTCTTTCACTTTTTTCACGTTTTCATCGGTTGTTGATGTGCTTGGGCGTCCGGGTCGTTCGTCATCTTCAACGTTTTCGTGGCCATCTTGGAAACGCTTATACCACTCATAAATCCTTGCTTTACTCATAGCAAACTCACTATATGCCTTTGTTAACATTTGACAAACTTTACTACACTTTATTTCATTTTTTACGCAAAATTTAATACAAATTCTTTGATCCATTTTTTTTCACAAACGAAAATCGCCGAGCTCGAAAAACACATCTAACGTTAGTGGCTGCCACTTAAAAAGTAAGCAATGAATATTGCTGAAAATTTTATCGTACTTCAGGGGCATGTGTACCAATATAATAAAAAAAAATTTTATACAAGCGGACTCTCCAAACCCGCGAAATTTAAAAATTCTCGTTACTTTTTGAACACACCTCGTATATATGTATACCTTTAAGTATCAAAAGTGTATTGATCATCATGAAGAATACTTCGAAAAACAGTAATGCAATTTTCAATAATAAATTACTGTCTTTTCATTATTAGGCTCAAAATATAAATAGCAATCCTCGTATGTATGTCAATTTTCGAGATGTATACTACGATAAAGATGCCGAACCGATGCTCAAAACACTCAAATATAAAAATGACATGACTCTTATAGTGATTGACTGTTGAAATAAAACGAGTCATTGAAGACTGCTTCAGTAGATGTGCGCTTGGAGTTCGAAACCACAGAAAATATTCCTAAAAGATCTACAGCATATTCTCTTATTCTACACGATCGTGTCGTTCAGTATAATCTGATAAATGGAGATGTGAAAAAAATTATTTAGAAAAGGGAGGGGTATTAAAGAATTGGCTCTTTTCTTAACCCATTAACGACCAAAATGCTCAATTTTTTTGTTGATTTTCAACGCGTTTTTTTCGGTAGTCATAGGCCTAAGAAATGTTTGCAAACACGTATTTGGATGGGAAATTTAACACTCTTTCAGAATCTTTTTTCAAAATTGCGATTGATTGCGTTATAAAAAAGT